GTGGATGGGTGGTGGGTGGAGGGTGGTGGCAGTGGGTATAGATTAAAGAACAGGTGGACAGAGGAGTGGGTGGATGGCTGGTGGGTAGGTGGAGAATCATGACACCCGGCCCCCACTAACTGTCCTCACCCTGCCGCGGCCTCCCCTGAGCCCCTGCCTGCCTCTGCCTGCTCCTCCTGGCCGGCTCCCTGCTCCTCACGCCCTCAGCCTCCCTGCCCTTGCTCCAGCTGTCTCCTCCTGAGCCGCCTGCCTCCCTCTCCCTGCCAGGCAGCCTTTTCCTCCAACGCCTGCCACTCACGGAGCCTTCCCTTGCCTCTCAGGACACATACTTGTCACTGCACTACGCACCATGCAAGGGACCATCACATGTGCCACTGGCGCCCAGGTGGCCACGCAGACCACACACTCAGCCTGGGAAAGGGGTGCAGGGAGGCTTGAGGCTGGCGATGTCAGAGCAGCCAGGAGGGACGGGCTGAGGGAGCCAGAGGAACACCCTAGGAGGAGGCGGGTGGCAGGGCGCACACACCCAGGTCCCTGACCACACACTGCAGACCCCTCAGGCTGGAGCCGCAAGTTTGGACCCGGCCGCCATCACTCTATCCATCTCCCCATGTCCTGGCCTAGCTCAGCCCTGGGCGCTGGCACTTCGGGCCTTTACACAGACTCTTCCTCTGACTGGGCAAGGTTCTCTTCGCTGCCCTCGCCTTGCTGTCTGGGAAGATGGCCCCACTCTGGCACACCCACCAGGGCCTCGAGATGGCACCCCACAGCCCGACTGCTCCTCGTAGAACCCCACATGGGGCATGGAACTTGCTCCAGCTGTGCCACAGTGCCTGGGCCAGTTGGCGCCCAACAAGTGCTTGGCCCGCAACTGCACAGGACACATGGCCACTGAAGACCCCAGGGGCCCACGCCCCCATCTGATGAGCCTGAAGTTCCAGTTCCACCTCCTGACGCCCTGGTCTGCCATGGCAGCTTCCGCAGCCCCTCAGCGCCTGGCACCCACTTGCAGACCTGAATGCCAGGATTCCACCTGCTCTGGGCATGGGGCTAGCAGTGGGGGTGGGGGGCAGGTCAGGACACCTGCCCATCACCTGACCTGGGGATGGACCTCCATGTCCGCTCCTCCCTGAACTGTGGACGTCCCTGGGAGGGGGTGGGAGGCAGCCTGGTGGGCTCCAGAGCCAGACAGTGAGTGACAGGTGGTGACAGGGAGGCCCATGTGGGTACACAGACAGCTGGGGGGCCAGCGGCCGAGACCTAAAACCTGCACCCCTCCCCTACTGAGTCAACCTCCCACGAACCCCACCCCAGACCCTCAAGGCCATGAAATCCAAGTGAACTTACACATCCGTCTCATCCCACAGGATACAGGTCTGGTTGGTGGTGCCCTGGGAGAGAGGAGAGAGGAGTCAGGCGGGGCCCCTGGCGGCCAGGACCAGCCCCCACCCTCGGGTCACCCTGGGAACCCCCTACAGGTGTGCTGCCAGGCATGCTGCCTGTGCGGGTCCTTAACAGACTGCGTTTTGTGAGGAGAGAACTGAGTCCAGGGTGGAGACAGCAGTGGCCCAAGGCCGCCTGGCTTGGCACAAGTCTCCCAGAGCCCAGGTCCAGTGGCCAGGCTGGGCAGCAATGGCTGAAATCCGTCTCTGGTATGAAGTAGGGTGATGGGAAGACCCTTCTTCCGGGGCCTAGTGAGCAGGGGTCACCCGGCACACAGTGGGCCTCTGTAAGCGCCCTGCGCTGCTCTGACGTCCTACGAGCCTTCCTGGGACACAGCCTTGCCAGGCCTGCCACACACTAGCACTGCCAAAATGGGGCTGTGACAGCAGGGAGGGCCAGCGTTCCTGAGGCTGGATCTAGGGTGCGGCCTGCTCTGAGCAGCTGTGAGACTCAGTCCTCACCCAGCCCTATTGTTCCCACTTGATAAGGGAGGGAACCATGGCACAGAGAGGTTGAACAACTCTCCCAAGGTCACACAGCTAGAAAGGACAGGGCTGGGTTCTCCTGTGGCTTCCTACAGCCCTGGCCTGGGCTGGAGGCCTGGTACTGCTCAGTCCTGGTACGGTAACCCAGGCAACGTGTTCCCTGGGGGCCCTGGTTCTCAGCCCATCAGAAAGGCATCTCGGTCCCTACTCCTCTGAGGCCTGACGAAGAGCTCTATAGAGCTCCAAGGAGCAGGGTTGGGACCTGGCTGGGGTCACATAGCAGCTGTGGCCTGAGGCCGGGGCTTCCCGCCGGGGAGTGCTGGGAGGATGCTCCTGTGCTGAAATCCCAGGGCCCCTGTAGGCGAGGCCTGGCGTCAGCCCTGGCGGTGCCAGCAGAGGTGTACTTACACCCCCCGCTTCTCCGTGGCCAGGCATCTGGGGGCCAGGAGTCATGGGACAGGCCCCACTTCTCAGAAGGGGAACAACCAGGCCAATGGTGGCTGGAGGGCAGAGCGGTTGGAGCCCAGGTGGGAAGTCAGACACAGATGGAGTTTCAGCACCTCACCTCCTGTGTGACCCTGGGCAAGTCACCGCACCTCTCTGAGCCTGTTTCCCCACCATAATCAAGGGATAAAAGCAGCTCTTGCAGGTTAGAGCTGTTGTGAGGAGGCCTCAAAGGTTTACTGGCTGAGGAGTGGGACAGAATTCACGTATGTGCGTTTCTGCAGGCATCAGAGTGTGCGTGCGGACGGCACTCACATTATACATGTGGGCAAACTCGATCTCCAAGGGTGTGCGCAGGGAGCGAGGCGGGGGCTTTACAGTCACGGAGATCACCTTGGAATTCAGGACGGTCGTGTTCCTGCAAGAGACAGAGGTACAGGTGTTGGGGGAGCCCTCCCGGCCCAGGCTCCCCCTGAGGGCCCCTGCACCCCTCGCCACCCTCTACCCCCAGCCCATCATCCACACCTCCAGGCCCCCTGGCCTCCCCGTTTACCTCCTGTGGCTGGGGTCCTGCCCACCCCACCTGCCCTGCGCTGCCCACCTCTGCAGGGCCAGGAAGCTGCCCAGGTTCCGGTAGAGCACGGTGCCCACCACAAACACAGATGCTTCGTCGGCCTCTGGAAGAAAGTGCGCTGTCAACCCCAGTCCCCGTCCCCACAGCCAGGGCGGGACTTGGCAGCCTGACCCGGACCCCACTGTTGCTGGCCTCTGCCGCCCATCTTCAAGGTCACGTCCAGGGCCCTGGTGGATGGTGAGGCCCACCCGCGGACACAGTGCTGCAGCCGGGGAGCTGGGGCAACAGCCAAGTGCGAAGAGGGAGACCGGGCCATTCCCTGGGGCATCCTGAGAGCTGTGGGCAGGCAGGACGTGCCTCTCTTCCCAGTAATAGGGTCCTTGACATGTGACTCCCTGTCCCTCCCTGAAGTGAGGTGGCTCATCCTGACCCCTCTGCCTGGGCCTCAGGGTTGATCCACAGGCCCTGGCCCCAGAGAGGGCAAGGAGGGCTTCCTGGAAACGGGGAGCCCCTTGAGAACTGCCCAACTCTGAGGCAGCAGCTAGACTCCAGAGGGGTGGTGACCACCCGACTCTGGGGCCCACGTTCCCCATGAAGGTCCCCCGGCTCCCTGAGCCCCTCACCTGCCAGCCCCGTGGAGAAGACACTCTTGGACACAGTGACCCTGTCCTCCGGCACCTTGGCCCAGTCACCCGTGGCCCGCCAGCCCTTCATGGGGAAGCTGATGTCAGTGGCTCCGCTGGCTGGGAGCTTATGGATGCTGAGGACTGGGAGCAGGGTCAAAGGGGCGAGAGATAGAGAGAAGGGAAAGTCACAGACGTGGTGGGGCCTCAGCTGCAGGAGTTGAGGCGCAGGCCTGGCAGTGCAGGGTGATGCCGCAGGGAGCCCATGGCTCAGAGGCAGGGGTGTGGGGGCCATCTGCCCCAGCCCCAGCCCCCAGGGTACAGACCCCAACTCCCTGCACCCTGGGCCCTGTGCAGGCTCCACACTCCCTGGGTGGGCCTTGTCCCCAGACCTCGGTGAGGTCCAGGAGCAGGGACAGCAAGGAGCACCAGGCAGAGGCTGGGCCAGGTCTGGTCCTGCTGAGTTGGAGCCTTGGTGAGGGGCATGGGGCATGGGGCATGGGGCCTGCCCCTCCCACCCTCCATGGCCCAGAAGGTTGTCAAAGGCAGATTCTGGGGTCTGTCCTGTGGCCATGGAGGGATTCGCAGGGACCAG